TTAATTAATTATTAATTTAATATATTATTGTAATTAATTATTAATTTAATTCATTATTTTAATTAAGATGCTTGCCCGCTGGACCGGGTTGGGGTGCATCCGGGTGCGGGCAGGCTGGGGTCATTCACGGGGGATGCGAGAGCAGGCTCGGGTCATCCATGATTTACCGTCGAAAAATTTTTTACCAAAAATTTGACGAAAATTTTAGGAATCCGTCAGAAACTTCAGAATTTTCTGTCGGAAATACACGACTTTCCTATAGTGTTTGAATTGGCCTTGTTGAAGTTTGGAGAAAATTTCAAAATTTCTCTTAAAGGGGCATTTTTGTCATTTTGACCCCTAGTCAACTAGGAGTCAAAGCGGGTCCACCAAAATGAATATTACTACTTAACACATCATAATAAAGGGTCTGAAAATGATCAAAGGAATTTGAAGAAGGCTCCATGGTCAAATTCCACATAGTAGAGGGTCGAATGACATATGTCGTAAATATTTAAAGATTTTATAACCTTTTGAAATATATTCAATTTATGGGGCTATAAGTCTCAGAATGAGCTCAAATTTAGATGTTTGACCTTAGAGACATGCCTAATCAATATGCAATTGATAGATCATGATTTGGGGATTATTTGACTGGGGTTTGAAATATTTGAATAATCATTGAAAAAGGCTTTCAGGAAATAGCCTTTCAGCCATGAATCTTGGTCTAAATTTTTGGGTTTGATCTGAATTTTAGATTTTGTTCTGGATTATTGATACAACTTTTTTGCAACCTGAACACTAAGCCAACTAGTACGTTCCTTACAATATCTCATCATTACTAGGCCATATGTTGCCTTTACCGTAAATCAGTTAAGACAAACATATGCACAACCCATCAAACACACATTTTCAATTATTAAAAAGGGACCTCTGATATCTGCAAGGTACCATTACCTATGATTTACCCCTTACAGTAGGACTTCAAAGTATCCTCTTTCTCTGCATTTGAGAAACAAAACTTCAAATAGTCATAGTATTTAGAAGGCTTGTAAAGCAGTGGATGCTTGTTATCAACTAGCTTGTCCATAGTTTGTATCATATCGTCACTGCGACTTTGAATTGATATATACCAATTTTAGTTTTGTTATTATGTACATCATCAAAATATTCTGATAATTTCATTGAATATTCCACCGATTTTATGAGTGAATGGTAATGATCATCCAAGTCCAAGCTCAAAATAATCTTACAAATGAGTCCAAATCAAAGACCTGAAGCATATTTGGTAAGTTCAAACCATAATTTGGATTATCAAACGGTTTCCAAACATAACATGCTTACAGTCGAATTGAGCGAATCGATGAGATGAATCCAACGAGCCTAAGATTGCCAAATTCTAATATCATTAAGATACTCAAAGGTCTAGTAAGCGGTCCATGATCAATGGATTCAACATCAGCCGTTCATTCAAACCACTCCCAATTTTTCATTGATCTTCCTCCTATTTATTGGTCATGCCACTCATAGAAAACTATAAATTGGCTCCTCATTTCTTATAGAGTGGAACCCCCTAGGGGGGGGGGGGGGGGGGGGGGGGGGGGGGGGGGGGAGAGAGAGAGAGAGAGAGAGAGAGAGAGAGGCCCAAGAAAGAAGAGAATAAATAGTGCTCTCTTGCCAACAGACTCTTCCTCGACCACCGCTAGACTTCCGGCAGTTTAATAAAGTCGGAGTTCTGCTCGGCCACCGACCTTTGTCAGACTTTTACCTGACATCGGACTTCTGCTAGTCGTCGAACTTCTACCCGTCACCGGACTTTTGTCGGACTTCTACAATATGCCAAACTTCCGCCCTTCACTGGATTTCTACCCAATGCTAGACTTCCATCCGTCGTTGGACTTCTGCCTGTTATCGGACTTCTACCCAATGCCAAATTTTTTTCTTTCACCAAATTTCTATCCGACGTTGGACTTCCACTTGTCGCCAAACTTTTGCCCGTTACCAGACTTTCATTGGACTTCTACCTGACGCCAAACTTTCACCCATCGCCAAACATCTGGCCTCCGTTGCCAGGTGACTACGGCCCTTCTGATCTCCTTCACCAGACAACAGTCTTTTTAACTACCGTCGTCTACCGACCACGGTCTTTCCGACATCCGTTGTCGAACAATGATCTTTCTAGCAACTGTTGCCAGCTAACTACAGTCTTTTTGACATCCATAGCCAGATTGCGGTCCTTCTGACCTTCGTCGCCAGACAACGATTTTTTATGACCACTATCGCCCGCCGACTACGGTCCCTTTGACCACCATCACCATACTACAATATTTTCAACCTCCATCGCCCACTGACTATGGTTCTACCAACCAAACATATGTATCAATAGTGATTCTTTCATGTCTCATCAAGTAACACACGTTATATGATGTATATTTTTTAAATCAAGCTAAGGTCTTCCCCCAAGGAAGGGCCTCATTTATAATTAACTACAAATACTAGTATATTTGTTTAAACTGAGTTAAGCCCCGTAATTTTTCCCCTTTTCAAGATTTTTCACGTAAAATCTTGGTGTATGTTATAAATGTTGCACCCTCTCTTTTATCTGATTGCGTGATGGATCTTCGTACAAAACGAAAATGTTAAAATTTATATTTCTCTACCACCGTGATATTCCAAGATGCAATAATATGTATTTAAAAGAAATTTGTAACGAATTAGTACCAAAATAAATCATTTCCTTGAGGTCAGATTGTCTTCGCATACTCCATGAACATCTGCAAGAGATTCAGGGTCATTCAATTGGAGACTCTTGAAGGCAAAACCTGTAAGCTGAAGTAACCTTCGCCTCTTCCTTGAATGCATCAAGCAGGGCCTATTCGATCATCCCGTTTTGAAGCTCGACTTCACTATCATTGTAGATCACTTGAAAGCATCCATATTTCATCCGAGCACTTGCTACCTTCTCCTGAACACTCGACCAAGCCTTTGTTACTGGCTCGGCCATGCTCAACACAGTAAGATCTACCTTTGGCAATTCAAGCTTATTGCTGTTACCACCCATTGATCCAATGTTTCACAGCTTATATTGCTTCTACTCTTTTGTCTGTGGACTCTTCTGAAATGGAGTGTTTATTTATGGGTAGGTGTTCAGCATCCAATGTCGAAGATGCCATGAGGAATAATGAACTAAAGTTTGTCTTGGTAGATTAATTTTTGAAAGCTATTTGCTATAATTTTACAGTTTGCAATTACTACGAGGAAAGAAATATTATTTTGATAAAAGGATAAACTTGAAAATATTATAAAAGATGGTTGCTTTAATTTTATCTTTAATAAAAAGATGCTGGTGGTGGTGTTCAAGATTCCTAAGAAGCTTTCTCATCCTTCTGTTCGAATGATAATTATGAATGTAGCGGCAAAAAAGTTGAATAAAAAAGCATTATTACACTACAAAAAATATAGCTTTAAGTGCCCTAATAGATATTTGTTGGGTACATGATTTATTGGGACATTAAATAATTGTGTCACTTAGGTAGTCATTTGCATAGGGGTAAGAGCATTATTATATGGCCTAACAAGTAAACTTTCATGGCAAGGGAATTTGATGGAATAGTCACCAAATTACACCTATAAGGTGTCATAATAAATAGGGGTGGAACCCCATCTAGCTCGAACAATTATTAGGTACGGTGACCGGACGTAGCTCTACGTCCGGTCACCACTGAGTTACCTGGTATTTGCTTGGTATTTGCTCGGTATTGCTGGGTATTGTTTGGCAATAATGAGAAATACCGCTCTAGGAAGACAAATACCGAGAAATACCGAGCAATACCGAGTAATATCGAGTTTTTCTAGAAAAAACTCGGTATTGCTCGGTGTTGCTCGGTATTTGTCTTCACATAATGGTATTTCTCGTTATTGCCGAACAAAATCGACAAATACATGATTTTGTGCCTGCTACGTGGCGTGATTTTGTGCCGGCCGAACGTAGCTCTACATCCTTTCACCGGACCAAATAAAAGTTCATCTAGCTCCGGGGGCAATTGACCCCCTAAAAAAATAAAAAAGTTCTTTATTATATAATTTTTTTAGATAATTTATCTTTATCCATCAATTTTTTTTGTTGCCTGAATTAATCTATATTTGCACTGTAAGTAAGAAGTGGAAAAGCGAGAAGAAAAAATATAAGGAATAACGAAATGAGAGATCACATCAAATGCTACTCGGAGTGTATATATATGAGGGATACAACATATTAGGATGGTGAAAATTTGAGAGCTCAAGCTGAACGCAATACGCTAAGCATTCATCAATGCAAAAAAATTAACCCAATGAGTAAGGGATACTACTAAATTTATGCCGAATTCAACACTTGCTTTCATCTTGAATTGTTTATTTTGCTTTAAACAAAATATCATTGCATAAATTTGATGTGTTTTTCACTTGAATTGAGCTGGATCAGCAAAGCCAGCAAACCTACAAATGAGCCAAATCCTATTTTAATTTATCTGGCACTGCAAGAAAATCGCTCATTATCGATAAAATTTTCAAACATATTTCTAGCGGACAATTTTCTAGCAAATTTCTGACGGATTACAAAAAAATATTTTCGGCTGATATGCTAGAAAAAAATTCCTACGCAGATATTTTCCACCATAAAAAATTCTTGCACAGATATAAATTTCCGCCGGAAAAAAGGTTCATGCATAGATAATTTTCGGTGATAATTGTCGAATATTTTCTCCTAGAAATCTGACGGAAAATTTTTCTAGCTGCTTTTTTTTGCTATGGCAAAATTTTTCCTGCGCAGCTTTTACCAGCTCAAAATTTTTCGTCAAAAATGTTTAAATCTGTTGGAAAAAATCGTCCATAATAACAGACAATTTTCCTATAGTGTGGGATTACAACATGCAAAATTAAACTGAGATAGCTTAATCTAAAAAAAAAAAAACTTCTACACATATATTCAAATGATATCATAATAATTTCTATCATTATCATTATTAATTTCACAAGCCACATGAAAAAAAGGAAAAATGTTTCTTCACATATATCATGCAACATTGAATTCATCCTTATACATATTTTTTTAGATACATTCATGATCAAATTTATCTTATTTTCTCCAAAACAAACACATGAGTATTAATGAGTTGATTCCAATCAAACCTATCCATCGATCATCAAACAGAAAGTAAAATTAACAGTAGCCCTCCGAACTAGCTGCCTGAAAGGCGTACGTCGCTTAGCTCCAATTATCTAATTCCGATCCACTCTTGCCTTCATTTCAACTCCGCTTCTTCAGCCACATTATTCTCTTTCTTCAACGACGACGGCGTCGTCGCCAGCACCTTGCCATCCGTCCCGGCGAGCATGGCATACTTATCCTTCCTAGTAAAATTAGTACATTCAAAACCCAACGTCGCGGCCAGCACTCGCTGGATATAATTGGCAACCTCGATGGCTGAGCGGCCTCCGGCAACGGTGAGCTCCCGCGGCAGCTGGTTGAGGAAAGTGATCTCGAAGGTTGGCCGAGGGTTCATAAAGCAGAAGTAGGGATCGAGCATCTTCCATCCCCTGGTAGAAGTGCCATGGAAAACCCCCTGTTTCGTATTAATGGCCACAGGGACAATGCGGTCGGTGAGTTCAGCGAAGAGCGCGCTGAAGCGCAGAAGGAAGGGTTCGCGGCATGTGGTTCCTTCGGGGCAGATGACGAGATCACCTTCGTCGAGAAGGCAGCGGATGCGGCGAGCGTCGGAGTCTCGGTCGCGGGAGAGAGCCACGGCGCGGATGGGGGAAATTAGTTCGGAGAAGCGGCTGATGCTGTAGGTGACGCAGGAGATTTTACGGCCGAGGGCGACGGCGGTGACGACGGGGTCGAGGACGGTGCGGTGGTTGCATACGAAGAGGACGCCGGGCTGGCCGGGTGAAGGGGGAGGAGGAGGGGAGCCGCGGACGATGAGTTTGATGCCCATTAGTCGGTAGGTGTGGCGGACGATGCGTTCGGGGAGAGGGATGTTGACGTAGACGCGGAGGAGGGAGAGAAAGAGACCGACGGGGAGCCAAAGGAAGGTGAGGAGGGCGGTGAGGGGAGTGGGGCGCTGAGCGAGACGGCCGTCGTGGAGGATGACCGGTCGGAGGAGTTTGTTGCGTGGAATGGCACGGTTGTTTCTGCCCACTGATTTGGGCACCAGGTAGGCTTCCTGCATGTAGAAAGCCTCAGAATACTACATGCATTAATCGGTATTTTTTATTAATAAATTTTATGTGTTGGAAGGATATCAATATATTTTATATTAGGGCTAATTTTGTAAGCCATTGTAGATTTATAGATATAAATATAATAAAAAAATTGTGAGATCAATAAATTAAAATTTCTGATAATTTTTTTAAAATATTTATAAGATTATTAATTTCGTCAATATTTATATATAAATTTCTTCAATATATTTAAATTATTAGCAAATATAACTAAATTATATATTAAACCATTCACAAATATAAAAATTAAAAGCATATATATGAAAATCAGAATGTTTATATGAAAATATGAAAGAAAAATTTACTAAATATTTTTGTCTATTTCAAATATGAAATGTATCAAAATATATAGCCAAAAATACTAATCATGCTTTTAATGCCGAGGGTTTCTTTCATTTGATGTTTTGACTATTCATACCTACTAGCATTTGTACTTCATTAACTTTCATTAAAGTTAATTAATGAATATATTAAATTTAATATAATAAAATATCTTTCCATAATTCCCCAACCAACTGCCCAAGCCATCAATAATTATCATAATTGACACGGTGTTTTCTTTAAATTACACATTAGTACCATTCAACTTTATTTTAATTTACACTACTAACATTCACATTTTATTTGGAATAGCCTTCGTAATATTTCATTTTTTATATTTTAATTATAGTTTTTTTATTTTGCAATTATTTTTTCACAGTTTTAGACAAATTTTTATGTGGAAAACAGCTTTCTGTAGCAACTTTCAAAATAGTTATTTTATCTATAACAACTTTACGATCACATTTATAAAAAGATACAGCGGAATCAAACGGACCCTCAATTTTATCCCACCCGAAATCAATATTTTCAATATTCTTATTTAATTAGTTTCAATTTTTTTAAAAAAATATATAGATATTTAATATTTATGAAAAATAAATAAATAAGAAAAGAGCAGTATGACTCTCGTATGGCCATCCATTCATTTTGGCTAAAATCGTATATTTCCTCTTAATAATTGTTGCCCTGAATGGTCGGTGCATAAAACCTGTGAGCGGTCCTAAGAATTAAAACCAGAAGAAAATTGCCAAGCATGCCCCACAGCAACTGTAAGGCTGTAAGCTTTGCCACATACCTATTCAATTAAAGGAACAAGTACGAGTGAGATTTTCGTGAACGGCTACGATGCTTTGGACGGCAAATGAGATGACCGTCTGGTGTCCACACAAAATAATTTCTAATTTTTTCACTATTATTTTAAACTTTTATCTTTAAAAAAATATTTTTGAAATATTTGTTGAGAAATGAGTTGTCCTGGCCCAAACAAAATCCCAATCACTCTATATGTATGAATGTACTGAATGAGTTAATCACTTTTATAGTTTAATATGAATAAAATTCATTGAAATTTATAAGCATAAGCAAAAAAAAAATTACTCTATGAAAACATAAATAATTTTCAAATTGGAAAGTTCTCTTTTTTCTTTTGAAATCAAAATCCGTAAGTTAGTAGTCAAAACTTCTACCAACAGATCAAAACGAGCGGCTCTAACTAACTGAAAAATTAATAAATGATTGAACATTTTGTGATTGGCATGGAATGCTTTAAATGCTAACAATATTGAGGGTGACTGTTTAACTAATTGCTTAGCCTTTTTTTTTTGGAATAATTTATTAAAACATTAGGTAGGTCGTTTGTATAGGGCATTAAAAGAGTCAATTTTCAACAAGAATATAAATTTGATATTAATATATTTAATATTCACGTACAAATTTTAATAGTCGATATTGATATGTGGTCAATTTTTTTCTTTTTTCTTAAGTGACTAATGGTGATTGAAGGCAAACTTATGTTTCAAATAGGAGCTTCGAGAGAGCACTCTTCAACTTTAATCAAGCGATCATTTTCGATCATCAAAATCTGATAGTATTGTATCTAATCAAATTTACTGATAATTAAAACCCTGATTTTGAAATTGATTATAGTCTCTTCAAATTTTTGAGCAAATATTTGATCTAAAATGTGATCTAAACTTAATAAAAATTTGTCAATTTATAATTTTAGAGCAAATATATATATATAATTCAAATAACTAACAACATGATTTAGTTGAGCCATTTTTTCTGAAAAAGTTTTTTTTTTTTTTTTTCTAATTCTTCCCTCTCAATCTGTCTAGCTCTAAGTTGATTTTTTTAATTTATTTTTTATTAATTTCAACAAAATATAAGGAA